GGCTGTGACAAACTGTTTCGTCGGAGTTTCACCGACTCATATATATATATATATCGTCACAAATAGAACTGCCCGGTAAACCGTAGGCAGAGAGAGAGAAAAGGACAACAAAAACTGTTTCGTCGGAGTTTCACCGACTCATCAATATATATATATTTTCAAAAGTGTCATGTGCCATATCGGTTTACCATGCACGATGTCCCAGGGGTGCACAACTTCGGTAATGCATGCGTGCGCAGCGCAGCACCAAAGCAGAAATATCGTCCTCTGAGCTGCTGCCAATTTTCTTAATGCGTTGCACAAGCAGCGCAGCCCGATAGCAGGGGAGTTGTCCTACGAGCTGCTGCCAATATTGTTTAACTGTTCTCTACCCACATGACCTACTTGGGATACTGATCATGCATTCCCCTCCACACACTTGCAGAACAGAACAATTTTATAGTAATTCCACTTTTTCAAGGCACCTTTCCACCCTTTGAAGACCCTGTGTCACCCAAACATCTGCTTTAAACTGCACTTAAGAGCCGAATAGACCATTCACTTCCCCCCCGGCGTAAGCTGCAGTCAGATAACACAAAGTTAACCATGGTAATCGGGGGACACAAACTAAGCTGCAGTCAGATAACACAAAGTTAACCATGGTACTCGGGGGACACAAACTTAACCATGGTCCACTACAACCAGTGATTGGCTTAGGGCAGCACTCCACTGGTTTTTCAGCTGATCTCTGGCAGTAATTGCAGTTAGGTGCATCCAGAATCAGCCGTCATTGCTGCCAATACATCCATGAAAAGTCCTCTAGTTACTACATATGTTCTAACTCACCCAGAGGTATGCCTCGTTACCAAACCATTCTCTCTCTGCCTACAGTTAAATGCCTGGTTGATAGCTAGTTTCTTTCTTTGCCACCGCCGAAATTCTCTCCAGTGCTGATCGGCCCCTTCCGCTACCAGCTGCGGCCAGTTTTTTTTCTCTCTTTTTTGCCCCCAGTGTAATGAAGGCGGCTCAGGAGGTGACAGTTAAACGACCACTTGATAGCTTAGAGGCTTGTGGAAGACAACAGGAGCCCACGCGCGCTGAATCAGCTGCTCTCTCTCGAAAAGGCCGCCAAGCTAAGGATCCATAGTCACATACTCTCCTGCAGGCGGAAGCACAATCAGAGGCAACAGCCACCAATCACAGTAATCAGGGGGTGATGCAGGGTTGCATAGCTGCGGACCGCCGACCCCGATCGCCGATCATTTTGCAGCCGACCAGTAGGGCCGACCGATCAGCGGTCTGCCGACCAGTCAGAAAACAGCCATCCACTGATTGTTTTTCAAATCTGAGTTGGAGGCTGTAGTGCGCTTGCTGAGTACAGCCCAAATCCGCTGAGAAACCTTTGGGGATGGGGAAGGGTATGGCGGGTTGCCGTGGGGTG